CAAAATTTGGAAAACTTTGTTCCTCTTCCTTATACGCCAAATTGAGTTTTGACAATTTCTGCCTATACAAATTCAAAATGTGGAAATATGCAATCTATCCAATTTTCCCTGAGGAATCTTATCATCATTTCAACAATTTGCTAGTAAATGCGGGATAGAACTTGAAACACTAATTCTAAACACATTTGCACTCATACTAAGCATGGAGAAAAACATATTATAATTTTCACATCGATGACAAATTTCAGCTACATTTTTTGCAAATGTGAAAGCGATTATCAAATGTTTCACACCAGGTTTTGCAATTTCATTTCTTAGGTACTAAGTTATAGCCAAAGTCCAGGAGTTAATTGCCAATTCTCTCTCATTCACACTTCCTAAGAAATCACGAAAAAATGTCGTGCTAATCCCTAAATATACAATTTCTGATTTAAAATTGGAGATTTCATGACCATATTAGCAAAAATGACATCTATAAAACATGGTCGGGAATTGATTGACCCGCTTTCATCTAAAATGTATAATTTGTTACATCAGTACTGAAATTCATTGTAAGATGGGATACTCTAATGTCAAAACTTTGAATCAAGTTATTATTTCACCCTAATTAACCCTAATCACTTCTATCTAATAACCTCGGTGGATAAAGGTCAGAAACTTACATGACAGAATTGTCCATATCGGTTACTGGTTCTAATCAGTAGAGCTTAATTGCTGTAAAGTTTTTGTTAAATTTTTGCTTTTGTTAAATTTTCGCTTCACTATTTCATCTGCTAAATTTATCATTTTCTGTACACAGTTTATTCATTATACTTTTTCTCATCATGGCGCATTTTTTGGCAAGTTTTTTGGATCTTAGTGCTCTTCGAACTTGATAGTAAAAGAATCACCACTGATAGTTGTCTTTGTTTTTAAAGATCTGATAGTTTGAAGGATTATTGAGGTAAATTATAGAACTAAAAATGTAAGACTGTCACATTATTAACTGCTGTCACCTCTCATTATGACTCCGTTCATTTTGGAATTTTCAATTGGAAGAAAATCGAGATACATGATGGTGGATGGTTAACTGTGCTCCATTGAGTCAATTCATCGGGGGTGGAAGGATAAATATTACATATCCTTTTGAAGTGAATTTGGAAACTTCGATCTTTGAATCTGTTGCTAACAATGATACGAAGTGTTGTATATTTCAAGAAATTCAAAGGGATGAAGGAAAAAAATGGCCCAAGCGGAAATGTCTTGTGTGATTAATTCACTGTAAATAAAACATCGGTCAAAGTTTAATCTTTTTGCACTTTAGAGTAATGATGAACTGCAAGATCTCTTCATGTCATGTTTTGGCATCATTCCATGGTTGAAAATATGCAAAAAACTTAAAAAACACTTCGATGGCATGTAACATTTTAAATCAATAATAAAATAGGTATATTTGTGAATTCCTGCTTATCTTCCAGTATGATGTCTCTTACACAATATTTGTGATCGATGGCAGTGCGATTATGATGAGGATTCATTTCACCAAAACAAAACCTTTCGGAATTTTGGAAGAGGAAGAGAGAAGTTATAATAGCATCATAGAAAAGGAAAGACAGTAACATCAGAGAGCGCAGTTGTTGAGTTCTAATCTCTTGAAACACTCACTTACTCTTTTTAACTTAACACCTTGTAAATTGAAAATTTTTCAAACATATACTTATAATTCATTATTACCCCAAAGTGAATGACTGTGTCCATCGAGGTGGCATTGGTTATGAGCAGTATGTCATAAACTTGAAGTTACTGCAAGTTTAATCTCATGGAAATCAATATTTTTACACTGTAGTCCAAGAATTGAACAGAATTATCCATTTTCTTATTTTCATCAGATTACGTTAATGGACAGGATGTTCTTTCTAACAATTATTCCTTTTTCTTTGACATCACCCACTTGGTTGCGAAAATCGGCATTACGTTTCCTATAAGTAAATTTTTTCGGAATTAAAAAAATAATTCAAGAAAATTCCGATTTAACAGGAAAATATTTTCTTCACAAAATTATGATGATAGAGAATGTAGCTGATGAATTTGTATCAGTCTGAAATTGCCATTTATAACCACAAATAAACTAATTTAACGCCAGAATTAAGTCCTTTAACAACAATTCGCTTTATCGGCCAATAGGCCTAAGCCAACAGCCCTAAAACATTTCTCCGTTCATTTGCAACTTCAACAAATCATTACTTACTTATTTCGCAACTTTTATGTTAAATTAAACTCAGGTGCTCGTACACGTGAAATTAGCCCAAATGGTTTCGCGTAATAAATTAATTGAAAATGCTAAAGATATGTTTTGTTTGTCTGCTCGTTGTGCATTAAATTGAATGAGAGAAATAATTTTGAGATACAAAATGCGTGAATACTTTAATTGCTAAATATTTCATCTTCAGCCTATTCTCTTGCAAGTTACGCTATTTGGTAGGTGTGATACGAAGGGTCTCGGAACTAATCAAATGACATTCCAATGGTTGATAATGAAGTCTGATCCTCATGGGACTCGTAAAATAAATTTATCTGCCAGTTAGGTTCCACATTACTACTATAATAGAGTTTTAGATCTGATTACCATTAGTTTAACTTTGGTGTATTCGTGCAGTGTGCATCCGTTTTTGCGTGATTTAATTACAAAAAGTCAGCCACTCTGTCGTTGCAGCATATTTGGCATATATCTGATAGTCAAAAGATCTCGTCTTGAGAAATGCTCCGCTCCTGGATCACTTCAATACTCTTCATTCTTAGTTTCACCAGTACCGTTGTAAATTGCAATTTACAGACTGATCGATTTGACAGGCAAGATCGGGACTATCGACCGTTGCAGGTTAGTTCTCTGTTTAATGATTCTTTTTCAAACCGAATTGAATCGAGTCACTATTAAAAAATGCAACTTAAATTTGCACTGTTTCGCGATGTCATTTTCGGCATTTTGATACAGTGTTTCAAACAATACTTCGTTTATGAATTCACAAACTGAAAAATCCATTAATGAGTTATTTTAAAAACTGTAATATTTATTTAGGTTTTGAAAAAGTTTCGTTTTATTTGATGATATCGAAATAATTTACATAAAGGGAGATCTAAATATAATTTCAAGATGAACTAACTTTTTGCTTCTCAAATTCTTTGTTTCAATCTCGACCAAATTTGTGACCTCGTTCTGTTCAAAATATAATCTTTCAAAAAAAACAAAGAAGAATTATGCAAATTCTTCTTAGCCGTCGAGAATCTCAAATATTATCCATTCTTATCAAGATTCTCGTGCAGTGAATGCCACTTTCAGAAAACTTTGCATTTGTCCTTAAATGAGTTCTCAAGGAACCGCCAAATGGATTTCTGAATTCCTCATGTGCTTGCAAATAGCACCGTGTATAACACAAACGACCGTGCGATCTGTATGCAGGAGACTAGAGCAGAAACCTTCACATTAAGACTTCATTTTGAATACATTGAGAATTTTCGCATTCTTCTCACTAATTACAAAAGAACTGAGAAAACATGGGTTACAGATAATATAAGATTAATTGAAATAGAAATCCAAAATAAAATCGAAAAAATCCCAGAAAGGAGACGAAAGAACAGAGAAATGTTTTTCTAAAAACTGAAATTTGGTTCAGGAAACAAGGATTTTTTGAAATAATTTGAAAAAAAAAGGAAGGGAGCTTGAAGACATCATGCAATTCTTGCCACCTTACGCTATATACTCAAAGATCGTACAGCGCCCTTTTCATTTTACCACACTTACTACTATTATTTTATATGAATGCATAGGAGATGACAAAGATATTAGAGATTGATAAATAAGTAGTGCGTTCGAAAGCTAAAATTGGAATATGAAACTTCATTGCTGCCACTTTTGCACCTCAGCTGTAATTTAGAATAATGATAAGGATAATACCACAATGGTACAAGAAATGTTCTTCATCGCTTTCCGACTAATTTAAACATTATAGCAGACAACTTTGGAAATATTTTTCTTAGCCAAATTAAAAACAATACATCAATCTTAGAGCTCATGGAATGTAATTAGCAATACTATTTCCTTATTTCACCTTTTATACTAATAAACTAAACTTGATTTGTCATCTGAGCATTTGTGGTATCCTTTATCCTTTGCAATAATATTCTACACAGTTTCATTTTCGAGTAATAAACTTTATTATACAGTTCACCTTGATTTAGAACTTCCCAAGTCCAAAATTTTTTGATATAACCCGAATAACTGCAGTGGTTTTGAACTGAAAATAAAGCATTATAATGGAAAATTTTCCAACAATTCTATTGAAAGATGATATCAGTAAGCTTTCCCATCTAAATGGAAATGAGAAAAAATCTCTCTTCACTTTTAGCTGAAACTTGCAAAACTTTCGAAAACTGAGAATTGAATAACAACAAAACAATGTCAGCACAAATTTTCAAATGATTTTGCAACATCTGTTGCTCCATTGCAAGAATTATTGTTTAGACTGTGCCTAAGTTTTGTCCTATGTTTTTATTACATCGTCTTTCAAACGTTTGAGGATTTGTCCTGTTTTTGGCATAGATCGATTGTTTTTTTTCGATTGTTTCGATTGTTTTCATCAATGTTAGCTTATCGTGATGGCAGTGATTCCGATCCCTCCAATTGCTCTATGTTAAAGAGTTTCACATGTCAACAAATTTTGGATTGTTGAGAGTAACTATCACGCCACAATAAATTAATTGACACAGTAAATAATAGGATAATATTTTTATAAATATTTTTTGAGTTTTTTTGCATGAAAACATGCGAAATTGTTTTATTTATTGTGAAGAAAATTAGGTAGGACTTCGCACTAATCACTTAAAGAACCGATGATAACTGGCATGAACAGTTTGCTAGGGTAGGATTCAATATCAATTCATTCTCTTTTGAGGAAGTGGAATTTATTAGGGTTCTAATTCGTTCACTGGACCAGGTCAGTATCTTGTGAAACCGCTTTTTCCATTTAAACTGATGCTAAATTAGTTGAAACAAATAATTCTTAAATCTTTTTTAAAGCAATTTTATTCACTTTCGTGAAAAAGTAAATATGAGAATAAACGTCACTTCTTCCGCATATTTAAAGTTAACGGGAGAACTGGCAAAGCAAAAAATACGGTGAACATGGTGTTACCTTACACGAAGTCACTATAGATACGGTGTCACTGTACATACAATTTTGCAGTTCGGTAAGCGAGATGGCCATCGACCACTACAGTTTGGGAAGAAGAGCTTTCGACCATTGCAATTCGGAAAGAGGGGTATGGATGAAGCACCAGATTACTTCTATGATATATGATTCCCACAGCAAGCTCAGACATAAATGAAATTTGAAAATGTCAAAGTTTCAGGCTTTAGTTTCTTGGCATCTGTGTGATATAATAAGCCATGTAGCATGTCACGCTGTTCTACAGAATACATTCAGTTGTGCTCATTAACTCTTCAAAGTCCACTAAACTTTAGAATAATACAGTACCACTTTCTTTTAAATGAAAAATGATAGCGTATGTAGAAATATTTCACAAAAATTTCTGTAACTATCACGTTCCGATCGTATCGTGTTTACCTACGTTCGCTGATACAACGATTACCATTACTTACCGAAAAATAAAACATGATGTTGTTCTTGTTCGTTTCAATTCTCCACAAGAAGGTGGAATTTGGAAAGGTATCAAAACTCATGGTTGATTTGCCGTACCTATTTCATTTTTGGCATTGCGAGGTCGCTTCTAGATCTAGTAAGACCAGATAAAGCAAGATTGGATGTTTCAACCACAAAATGATACAGCATCATCACGACCGAAGTACAATCCCATGATGAAATTATCAGCAGTCTAATCACTGGGATTTTAGTAGTAAGACTCATAACTACTGAAAAACAGAATCTTCACGAAAAACAGAATCTTCACGCACAACGATCCTGGACTTTTTTGTCAAACATACCGAATGCGTGAAATAAGTAACGAGAATTAAAGGTTGGTCTGAGAATGAAATCAGGATAGCTTGTGTCATTCAGCACTGTATTTACCAGTGGTAGCAGTGAAACTAACAATAGAAAAGTACAGGATGATGGAAACATAAATTTTAATAAGCAACTGATCGGATAAATGGATCTCAATAAAACGGAAAAGAAGTGTATCCGAGATATATCAGTCAGGAAAAGAACTGTCGATGCAATTGTTTATAATCCACCCTCGCTTTAACTGAAAGTATTTTTGAGCAATGTTGTGGATGTTACACTTTTTACTAAACTTATAATAATGCAACAGAATTATGCACATCGAAAACAATTTTGACAATACCATACTATACTGAAATGGCATATTACATAAGGCGGTAATGTCCTATGACACAAATATTTGCATGTCGCGACAAAGGTCGCCTTGTGGGAGCGTTATTATACGTGTAGTTCTTGTTGGCATAATAAGGTGATGAGGTGAGGTCAGGTGGAGTTGGCATGGTTTTGACCCTCAGTTTTTTGGTAGTCGTCTGCTCTTGACATGTCTTTACTTTCGGTATTTTTAAGTCTTGTTTGGCATCATTTGTAAATGGTTTCAATAAATGACTAATAAAGACATAGAACAGATTTTGTAACGCGAATGATTAGTTTTATTATTAGATATGCCTTCGACTGACCATAGTCATTGGTGGTAACAATTAGTTATAATCAGTTAATCAGTGTTTATATGCAATACTTTTCTTGCTGGAACTTTCCATGTGTGTGTGTGTCTTTGTGTATATGCAAATTAATGTCCGTCTTTATGTTTTTGTACGAACCATAATTAATTTGTACGACAAAATACATTTTATATCTTCTTTGCAGAATAATTGACTTTATTGTAGTGCATAGTACACGGTCGATCGAGTGAGAGTGGTCACTAACGAATGGCGGGTTTGAACTCGAATCCATTTGCAGATCCATTTGCGGTATGTTGACGAAGCTTCAAATTTAGAGACGCGTATTTCTCGCCTCAGAATTTTAATTAATTCATTTATAAATGATTTCGGACACTGGTTTAATAGTAACTTCAGAGATGGTACTCAGTTCATTGTCTCTAATTTCTGTCAAAGAAGCATAAAGAGAAATCAAAGCATAAAGCATAAGTAAAAATCAGTACGTTCCATGCTGTGTTTTAGTGTATCTTTTTTGTTGCATTCGTATCACAGCCAGTGCTGGATTCTGTTTGTGGATTGATGTGCTCTTGGCTTGTAATAATTTGTAAGCTCTCATCTAATATAGGTGCACTCAAAAAAGTTTTGAAATGATGACTATCAAAAATCATGTATTTAGGACCCGAGTGTGCAACAAGCTGTTGACCAGGGGATAACAGATCCGACCGAAGATTTCAATCCATTTGCTCGAAATGCTCCTTCTGCTCCTCCGAGATCTCTCACAGAGGTAAACGAAATATATTTATTTGTCAGCTTTCGCACAGAAATGTGTTCAGCAAGTTTTCGATTTCAGACAACGACACTATTGTTTTTATAACGCTGTTTGATTTAGAAAGAGGCTTGAACGAAATGCTACTGTGAAAGTAATAGGTTGTGCAAGATATTTCGGTCATTTCCACAAACTGTGTGAACAAAGCGGCCTCACATAGACTGCTGTTTAACAAATTTGATTTGGAAAAATGTGACAGATGACTAAATCACTGAATCATAGATGTCACCGGTTCATATTTTTTGTTCCGTAATTTTTCCCAAGGAACTGTTAGTGACCGTAAGCACAAAAAGTGCACAAAATAATTCTTGAGTAACACTTTGGAAAAGATCTTCCTTTCCTTAGCTCAACTGTAGAAAAATTTTCATGATCTTTGTAGAATGTAGTATATGGTCAGGTTGGCTTCCTGAAGTACTGGTACGATTTGAATAAAATATGCTTGAATTATGTTTAGTACAGGTCTTTTCCCATTCGCAAATTATTGATTAATCAATAATTCGTATGTTAGTCTTATTTTTACGTCCATTTCTTTTGGCCCCACTTTCGCTTTTTCTTCGTAAAAATTTCTTAACATTGATTCTTTTTCAAGCAGGTTTTGTTAGCCACGTGTTTTTTCACTTAAAAATATATTGACAAAACGTTAACAGTGCACGTAATTATTTTCTAACATTGTAAGTAATGGTTGAGAACAGTTTACGATGTTTGTGAAAAAAGGGATTACTGGCTTACAATAAGAATGAAATCATAATTGTTTCAGCTCATGAATTCTAGGGGACTTATCACTGATATCACAATGGCTTGAATGACTATGATGACCATATAGTGGTGCCTAAACGTTCGATATCTTGCATAAAATAGATATGATTGATCGAACTTTTACTTTAAAACTTGAAAATAGGTCTTTGAAGTGTTTATGCATAGCAAATCTAACGATTTTAATAAATGTTTGCTCAACGCTTATTGTTTGCAAAACAAAATCCTAAAAGTAGAGTAACGGTCAGAGAGATAAGTGCAATATATAATAGTGTTTCAGTTTAGGAAATGCAGTACTTAATTTATTTCCATCAATTCCCCTGTCTTTTCACTTTCCAATTTCATTATTTGTTTGAGAGAATTCAACAAAGAATCTTAAAAATTGTTGTCTGATTAATTCCGATTTGGACCATAAATGAATCAGATTTATCTGGAGTCTCAAGTAATAAAAAATTACATCTAAGAGCAACTATTCTAAGCATAACTCATCAGCAAAGAGTATGTTTTTCATGGTAAATAAACAAAAACCAAAGATACAGTTCTGTCTAATAATAGCACGTTGAAATAGCGGCAGAAAGAAATTGCGGGAAATTGTGGACAGTTGATTTAAAAATAAGGTGGATTATGACTAAATGGATTTCAATTGCTGGTTGCTTATTTTCCAAACTTCTACCTTATTTTCAGTTCCCTGCTATCTCAGTAATGTTTTGACTTTTAGCCTACAGCTGGGTTGACTCCGGCAAGAGTTTCGGCACCAGTAATGAGCAGCGATGAGCTTTTTCGACGTCAAGAGGAACTTGAACGAAAAGCCCAGGAATTGCGTAGGAGAGAGCAAGAATTAGAACGACAACAGCGAACTGGTCGCATTGCTTCCACAGGAAGCACACGGCCTCATAATTGGCCACCACTTCCATCTTTTGTTCCACTTCAGCCATGTTTTTATCAGGTATCTTTAGAATAATGATATTCAGGAAAATATAAAGGAAATATAAAACGTCCTTTTTCCCATAGAGATTATTTCAAAATATAAAATATCCTTTTTTTCCATAGAGGTTATTTCAAGTTCTAACCAGCGTTAGAACTTGAAACGTTATTTCACGTAACTGCATAGCCGCACGTAACTGCACGTGTCTTATTGCTAACTTGTTAAGTTAATGTAAGATATATTTTTTTCAAAATGAGTTTATCTAGAAGGATTGTATGACAAATGAAAAAGAAACATGTCTCTTTTGAATCATCAATTTAATAGAATACTAATTCCTCGACTACTCTTGAAAGTAAATGTTTTCTAAAATCGTATGTGGAATATCGCCGTTCCTTAGATATAAAATTAAATATGGAAAAAGGATGAGATCTACCCTTTATTTCATTTCAGGATATCGAAGTAGAGATTCCGGTACAGTTTCAACGCACAGTTACTTTAGTTTATTATGTTTTCTTGAGTTATGTATTGGCTTTAGCAGTTAACGTCATAGCCTCTTTTTTTTACTTTATTTTTGGTAATGGGTCTATTGGTATATTGGTCCTTGCTATTATACAGATTTTGCTGCTTTCCTCGTGTTCGTTTCTGTTCTGGTTTCGTCCTGTCTACAAAGCATTCAGGTTTATTATGTTATTTTCTGCTCACTTTGAAATTTTACAGGAATTAAGCGTGAAATAACAGGACAAATAGAATTGTGTTTCAAATAAATCCAAAATTTATAAAGAAAGATAGGCAGAAAAAAATTTGCATTGGGGCATTCGTCATATTGTTTTGGTGTAGATGCGTATTTGGCTGCTATCAGTTTCTTAATCTTAACCACAACTGCAGTATATTTACTTAAAGGTTAATAGGAAAATCTTGAGATTTTTGTCTCATTTCAGGAATGACAGCTCATTCAACTTCATGCTGTTTTTTCTCGTCCTTTTCTTTCATTCAATATTCACACTGGTGCAAGCGCTTGGCTTGTCGCAATATGCTTGTGGTTGGATTAATGCTATTAATACATTTCAGTAAATTTCCATATTTTGGTTTCCCGTTTTCAGTACCTTGTTTTGATCCAGAACATTTCGTTGAGCAAATTTTGTTTCTAGAATTCAAAATAAGTTAATATGAAGATCTTTGTATCTATGTATAGTTAGTACTTCACATATCTGTAAGACTAAAAATTTGTTTAAATGCAATTTATTGTTAATTAATGGGCTGTAATAGCTATGTTTGGGAAAAAACGAGAGTGTAATGTTCATTTTTCTTGCTTTTCTTTTTCGTTTTTTCTGCTGTTCTTATGATTCATTTCAGTCATAGCATATTTGCATCTCTTATAATGATAATATCGGCGATTGCATTCACGGCTGCATTTGTTGGAATGGTATTTGCGTTATTTAGAGTCCACCGTTTCTATCGAGGGGCAGGTTTCAGTTTGGACAAAGCACGCAAGGAATTCTCTGATGGTGTTATGGCGGATCGGAACGTTCAACAGGTTTTTGTTGGTTTCTATATACTAAATGCTTTTTTTTTTCGGCAGGTGCTAATATTTAAGAGCTGCCAAAACATTCATAACACATTTGTTACATAAACATAAAATTAGGAATTTTCTTTCTTATTTTAATACAAATGAACTAATTATTTCATAAATTTGACCGAAAAGAATTATCGTTAGATCCAGATAAATTGACCGAACAAAAATACCTATTTTTATGCAGAATAGAATTGATTTTAACTACTGAGTTTCTCGAGAAGTTATATGAAATGGAAAATACATAATTTTCACGTATCTCTCACAGCAAACACTGCAAAATCATAAAGCTACGCGGAGTATAAAAAATTAGTGGTTGCTCATACTACATTTTTTTCTAGAAATTGAAGATTCTAATAACGGAAGGAAAGCGAATAGTTCTTTCATAACTTCTGTTTAATTTAGGCTGTAACAGGAGCAGCTCGAGCAGTTGCATCGGCAGCTACTACACAGGCAATGAATCACGCAACGCAAAGTGGGCGATACTAATGCATTTAGTACTTTTTTTTTTTGATTGTGCTTTACCCCAGTATATATTGCGCTATCTCTGAAGGATTTCAAATTTATCTTGTTTTTTTCGCTTATTAAGTAGTATTAGTGGATTTTTCGTCTTTGCAGCCAAAAGAATACAATTTTAAAGACGTACGTTGTAAATTGAAGTGAAGTTGCGCTCAGTTGTAAAAATGCTTCACTTGTCATCTTGTGACTTTGCAAGGTACATTGTTGATAATCACTAAAGACCTGACACTTTCGCTACTAATTCATTTTCTTGTTCGATTGAACTGAGAGCTTATTTCATTTGTTTCACATCTCATCCATTTTCTAGATTTGTTGGTTTTGATCAGATTTTGGTCGATTCTAGTAATGAGTAAGGGATAAGTTTTAACTACAATTTTGACCTTTGGCGCTCATCGCAGTGAGATTTGATGAATTAATGCCTCAAATCTAGAGGTCATGCTTTTTGGATATAAATTCGAAAAGGTCTGCAGTTTAAGATGGACATTTTTTTTCTATTTGTTGTTTTGTAGTCTTTCCAAGTCCAAACTGGAAAAAGATCTTTTTGTTTTCTTCACTATACCCCGAAATCAATTTAAATTTAGAAT